CATCCATCCACCCATCCACCTACCCATCAACACATCCATCCAGCCACCCACCTACCCACCTACCCATCAACACATCCAGCCAGCCAGCCAGCCACCTACCTACCCATCAACACATCCATCCACCTATCCACCCACCCACCTACCCATCAACACATCCAGCCACACATCCACCCATCCACCCACCTACCCATCAAATATCCACTCAACCACCCATCCACTCATCCACCCACCCATCCACCCACCCACCTACCCATCAACATGTCCATCCATCCAGCCAGCCATCTACCCACCTACCCATCAACACATCCATCCACACATCTTCCCATCAAATATCCACTCAACCACCCATCCACACATCCACCCACCTACCCTACCCACATCCACCCATATATCTGCATGTCACCTGCCTCCCCATCAACACACACAGACGTGCACCCACTATATCTATCCATACAACCATGCACACACATCCACCCAGCCACCCACCTGCCCGTCCACTCGCCCACCTATCCGTCCATCTGCTCAGCCAGTCGTCCAGTTGTGCATCAGGGTATTCAGTCTGACCCCAGTGCAGGTAGACAACCGTCACCACTCACTGGCCATCCATTGGGTCTGGGGGGTGAGTGCAGGCTTCTCCAGGGCACAGGCCCCCTGAAGGGCTCACTGTGGAGAGAATGGGAAGACAGGTAGACAACCCCGTGGGCTGCCACCGCGCGACGAGGACCAGCTGCTGGCACACAGTACAGCTGTGGGGTTGGTGACTAAAGCAGCCAGTCTTACTGTCCCACTGCCTTCCTAGTCTACGCTCCRTGCTGGGGGACGCACTCTTTTGAGCCCACTTTACTGGAATCCCTTGGCCAGGGCTGGCAGCTCGCCTGGTGGGTGCGGCCGTCCCTGCTCCTGGCAGCCACCACCCTGCCTCCTGCGGTGGCCTRGGAGGAGGAACGGGAGCCTGGGAGGTCAAGGAGGGTGGCAGCCACCAGGCTGTGGCAGGCCAGGAAGCCGTGGGAATACAGGGTGTCACCCAGGGTGTCTCCCAGCAGGTGTGGGTGATGGGGAGCAGCGGCCGTTCTGCGTAGGGGTGGCGTGACGGGGTGGGGAAGAGAGACAGACCAGGGAAGATGGGAGAGGCCAGGGCTGGGCAGGGCTAGCCAAAGAAGGGCAGGTCCAGGGCCCTGGGGATGCAGTGGTGTCACCTGTGCCACGGGAGGAAAGAGACCCAGAGAGGCCAAGTGACAAGGCCCTGTGTGGCCCCACTCCTCCGACACCACCCACCAGGCAGCACGGCCCAATCACACGCACCTGGGAGCTGCCCGACACATGCGGCCACCCATACAGAGCCAGCTGAGCAGGGGGAGCAGGAGGGGGCAGGTCAGCAGCCCCTGAGGGGGCTCCAGGTGGACTAGAGTCAGAGACGCGTGCAGCGGGCAGCAGCACAGGGACGCTTCCCCTCYGTTCCCCACGCTCCTGGCTGCGTGGACTGAGCGGGGCTGGCTCCGTTCTGTTTGCCCCCGTAAACAGATCCTTTTAAGACTTTCACCGGGCATCTTCTTACTGTGTCCACTAATGAGGGTCTCAAAAGGGACAGATGGGCCCTGGCCCTGACTGGAATAAACGAGGGCTCCAGGGAGGGAGAGGGCCCAGCAGGGTGCACTCATTTCCAAAATCACCCCAGATACGAGGCCRTCCCTGCCACACTGCCAGCTCCTCGGGACATGTTTCCTGGTGTCCCCTGCAGTGCTAGGCCAGCTCAGACCCACCACTTAGGGGCCCAGTCCCCATGCAACTACCTCATCTCAGATGTCGCCATCTCAAGGCCACCTGGACCTGTGCCAGCGACTGCCATGTGGGGTCCCACAGCCCCTCGAGCCAGGACCCAGAGACCAYCTCCTGGGACCCCAGAGAGTATCGAGAAGGCTGCACGGGGAGAGAAGAGACGTGGGGCTGGGGTCCTGGAGTCTCTGCGTTCACCATCCTGGAGGCCGCTGAGCGTCGGTCCAGGGTTTCACCATCAAGAGAATGATGGTCCACAGGTTAAAGTTGGTGTCCCGTCSTCCTCCTGGAGACCAGGAGCTGACACCAGGGCTCAAGTCTCCCTCTAACCACCTGAAACTGGGCAGAAGGCCACCACGTGGCAGCTCGTTGGCACAGTCTCAGATGTGCTCCCCGGGCCAGCGTCAGTGACAGTGACCACGTGGCCATTTCCCCAAGGAAGAGGCTGCTGCCGGGGACTCGGGGGGAGACCAGGAGAGGTTTAGGAAGCACCCCCTCCCTGAGGCTGCTCACACAACCCGCGGGCATCCTGCCAAACCCACCCTCACCTAACAGGRGGCTTTCCTCCTGCCTCTGCCCGGCTCAAGTCCGAGGACTGGGCCACACAGCACTGGCCTGGGGAGAGACCCCAGGCCGACTCTACGGATGGTTTCTTGGACGGTTTCTACTGGACGGGGGCTCAGCCCCATGTTCCCTCCGGCACCTCTACTGCGGAGGCGTGGAGCCCACCTGCTCTCCGGGGCCTCCGGATCCCATGTCCCGGGCCCCCAGCACTGCAATCKGGGCTTTGTGAGGCTTCTCCACTGCTGTGATGTTCTCTTGGGCGCGAGGCCACCAGGCACGGGCCTCTTGTGGCTCACACCAAGGTTACCTCCTGCTCGTGGCTTTCAGTGTCATAAACAGTGACAGAGGAGAGCTGAGCTGGATGTCCTGCACATGGACAGCGTCTCTAGGCTTYCCTTCCCCGGTGGGCTTGGGCAGGGAGGGAATAAGTGCTTGTGGTGTTGACGGGCATTGCCGATCCCTTCCACTGTYCACGGGTTGCTGGAGGAGCAGCCCGTCCCCCTGGGCCTGGGGACCAACTTGGCCTCTCTGGGTCCAGCCGCCTACCCTCCTCTCACCGTTAGTGAGATGGGTATCTGGGGTGCTCCAGGGGCCACTGGAGGCTCCTTTGTGTGCACTTGGGACCACAGTCTGCAGGGATTCGGGGTCATGAGGTTCTGGTCTGCACTGGGAGAGAGCAGGACTTAGGCAGATCCGGGACAGGGGCACCCCAACAGGACTGTCTGAGGGCAGTGCCAGGTAGGAGGKCCTGGGGCAGAGGAAAAGCTCTGGCAAAGGGCCCAGGCCCCAGGGCCGCCCTCCTGGGCAGCAGGGGTGGAGGCAGGGCTCTGGTACTCGCCGCTCTGCTGGCCTGTCCTGTGAGGAGGCCCAGCCCCAGCTCTCCAGCCCTCTCACGAGCAACCCTGTGTCCAGGCCCTGTCTCTAAAGGAAGCAGAGAGGAGCCTGCTGAGAGAGCAGCTGTCCAGGGCCACGCAGGACCTGGATCACATGCAGCAGGAGGCCCGGGGCCAGCAGGCACGAGCCGAGGTGAGCCCACCACCCTGAGCCAGCAACCAGCCCCTGGCCTGGCCGTGCACGGCCCAACCTGCGGCAGACACCAGCTCACCTTTCCTCCTGTCCCAGGAGCATGGCCGCTGCCCAGGGCTTCYTGGGCCAGGGAGGAGAGAGTCTGGTGGCAGGAAGCCAAGGCTGTGCTCTAGTCCCTGCCTGGGCAGGTCTGGGTGCTCCCAGCCCTCAGAACCAGCGGGGGCCCAGAGGGGAGGCCTGGCCAGGGAGGAGGGGGAGGGCTGCCCCAGGCCTGTGCCCGTCTGCAGCCACACCAACCAGCCTCACCTTGCTGTGCGGTGGGAAGCGCAGCTGGGACCCAGGGCTGCAGAGGCTCACCCACTGGGGTCCCTGCCACCACACTGCCCCGAGGCCACCCACCTGTGCTGCCTGCCTGGGAGGTGTGAGGTGGGGTGGGAGCAGGTGTGATGGGTGGCGGCCTGGGGGAGGGCGCTYGCGGGTTCTGATGTGGGGACTCCTGGCTGACCACGGGACGCTGTGCCGCAGGAATTGTGTTCCAGGTAGGAGGTGGCCCCAGGGGCTGCCTGGCCCGCCCCTGACACCAAGACCAGACCCCATGTCACTCTGGGCAGGGCAGTCCAAGGCAGCCTGGACCCAGGAAAGCCTGGCCCCAGACTTCTGGCTCCCAGCCACCACCTCGGCCGTGTCCCTTTCCTGAGGCGGCTGAGAGGGTCCCCGGGCTGGAGGATGGGGCTGTGCCCTTCCCAGCTGCTCTCTTAGCCCCCCCTCTGGGCAGGGACCAAGAAAGCACTGAGATGGGGAGCGCCCAACGCTCTCAGGGGAGCCTCCGGGAGCTGGCTCCTGGAGCATCCGTGTGTCTGGGTCTCCCCTGGACCCAGGATGGACCTGCCGGCCAGTGAGCTCCTCGGGGCGCTCCTTAGGGACTCTTTTACCACCTCAGCTCCAAAAATAGGAATCAAAACCCTCTGAGAGGAGGGGAGTGGAAACGCAGCCCAGGAACAGCTGGGGTGACGTGGTCAAGAGCCACCCAGGGCACAGCGGCCTGYGGGCTGTCAGGCTACCTCAGGGCTCTCAGCAGAACCTGTCCCCAAGGTCCCAAGGTGTCCTCCAGCCTCACTGAATAAGCAGTTCTGGGGCCGTGCCAGGGCACGAAGCCCATGTCCAGCTGTCCAAGGCGACGTGTCCGTCCAGGAGGCAGTGGGTAGAAGAGCCTGTGCCCTGGCCCTGACTGGAATAAAGGAGGCTCCTGCTGTGCTGCGCCAGAGCCTGGGGAAGCCCACGGCAGTGCCCCAGGCAGCGGCCTGCAGGATGGGGGGCGCCCACGTGGCACCTGTGCCTCCCTGGAACCCCGGTCCCCTCAGCTGCCCTCCTCTGCCCAGCTGCTGCTAGTAGGCCACAGAGACTGTAGCCTGGGGAAGAACCCCCTGTGAGGACCCTGTGGCCCAGGGTGGGTGGGGAGAGTCCTCACTGGACAGGAGAGCAGGTGTGGGACAGGAGGACAGTTTGGGCTAGGCTGGGTCCCAAGTGGTGCCACAGCTGCCCAGGCAGGGTGGCATCCAAGGGCAGGCAAGACTGAGTGCTTCACACTGGCAGCTGGCAGAGACAGTGGGTGTCCCCCTCCACCTGCCATTGGACAGTCCAGGAAGGAGGAGCAGCAGAATGGCACCCGATTCCCAGGAGGAGCATCTCTAACAATGCTCTGGCCTCCTCGGCCCAGGCTGATGGGCCTGGGTCCCCCGGGAGGGGAATGGGCACTGCCTCAGAGGGTGAGCCCTCCTCTCCTGGGCAGCCTCAGTGAAGGCTGCAGGCCTCAGGCCCCGGGGGCTCCTCTGCATCCTGGGCCTGAGTGGCCAGCAGGCCCTGCCAGGGCAGAGGTGACCCCAGCTCACTGCCCAGCATCACTGAGGGTAGGGCCTGCCTGTCCACAGGCCAGATGACCCTTCCCGATCCTCCCCCTGAGCCAAGGAGCCCAGCAGGGATACCGTAGGCAGGCCAGCAGTCGRCTCTGGGGTCCTGGGCCCAGCGTCCCCTGCCGTGGTCTGGTGGCTCGGGAGCCCCAGAGGGGAAACAGAGGTGGGAGACGGGCTGGAGCTTCAGCCCCCCTCCCGGAGCCCCCCTCTGGGCCAGCACCTCTGCCCTTCACCAACATGCTGGGCAGTCAGCAGGCGATGCCTGCCTGGCACCCCCAGCTGCCCCCCATGGACGCCTACCTCAGGCTGGCCTCCCTGATGGGTGGTGTGTCCCTGCTTCCCCAGGCCACCCTCAGCACCAGGACAGAGGAGCTACGGGCCCTTCAGGCCCAGTTTGAGGAGGCCATCTCCTCCCACCAGACACAGGCCGCAGCTCTGAGCCARAGTCTCCGGGAGGTGGCAGCCGGGAGGAGCAGTGCCCAGAGAGAGGTGAGGGCAGCAGGAGCCGAGTGGGCGGGGCTGCGCTCATGCTCAGAGCTGCCCTGGGGGAGGGGAAACCGGCCAAGATTCCAAACCTACAAGAATGGGGGCGGGGGTGGACCGTCYGAGTCCTGGCCACAGGAGAGGGCGTGCCCCAGGCTGGGCCCCAGGAGGATAGCCAGGGAGGGCCGACTYGTGGGAGGCTGGCCAGGACACAGGGTCCAGGTGTGGCGCCACACCCGGCCCAGCACTCTTATTCCACACAGCTCACACCCGGAGTCCAGGGGCACCTCCCTGTGCAGGTCTGTGGTCTCTCTTGGGAGGCAGCCGCGACTGGGGGTGGACACGGGGAGGCTGGACTCAGCYTCTGGGCTGTGGGAAGGCCCAGGCAGGGCAGCCCTGGGCTGGCATGGGGTGGGATGAGGCTGGTCTGGAGAAGCCTGCAGTCGAGGGGCAGGAAGAGACAAGGGGCCCAGGACCCACGTGATCATGATGGGGTGGGGACAGGCAGGGGCAGAAGGAGCACGGAGAGGCCAACTGGGCCCAGCAGGCCAGCAGATGGAGACRTGTCTCTGAGGAGATTGGGCAGGACTTGGGGGTGCCTGCAAGAGGCAGGGCAGGGGACATGTGGCTGAGGGCTGGACGAGGGGCCAGCAAAGCCCAGAGGGACCTGCGGGGGCAGGTGGCCTCATGGCTCCCTGGGCTGTGGGCCCAGCAGGGGGAGGGTCTCAGCCCCCCCAGGCACGCCCCGCGTGAGCCCCCGAGAGGAGGACAGCATGATTTACCACGACGGGCTATTTACACTGGCCCCAAAGAGAAGGGGCTCCTTCCAGCGGTTTCTAAGTCAGGCCTGGTCAGTGAGCACGGGAAGGAGGGTGAGCTTTCCAAGCTGGGGCAGTGTGGGGAGGCCGGGGTCACATTTGTTCTGGTGGATCCAGGTGGACAAAAGGAGTAGGGACCTCACAAGGGGAAGGGGACCCCCCGAGGGAAGTGATGGCCCCAGAAACAGAGTGGGGACCCCAGAAGGGGTGTAGGAGTGACAGGGACTGAGGGGGTGCTCAGAGGAACAATCACAGAGAAGCAGGCGCCAGGTGAGCCCAGGGTTGCCATGGAAACCACAGCCTGGAGGCTGGAGGACCTTCCGGGCCCTGCCGAGGTTCACCCCACACACAGATGGTGCCAGCACCATCCACCCGTTGTGTGTACATATCCCACGCTGCTTAAGAGCACGCACACCAAGTGAGAAGTGCACACTGAACATGTGCACATGCACACCCAGGCTCTCACATGCATTCACACACTCACACATGCAAACACACTCCAGCACCACCCAACACACATGCATGCATCAAGATGAATGGCAAGCACACACGTGTGCACATGCCAGCACCTCCATCATGCCTGTGGACGGTGCATGCACACTCTCACTCGGCCACACGTTTGCACACCAGAGCACACGTGTGCACACTCACTTGTGCATGCACACTGCACACTTGCCCCCAGGCCAGCCCCCAGCTGCCCCTCCCCTGCTCTCCCTCCCTGCCTCCTCTGCAGCTGCCCTCCTGCAGAGGTTTCAGAAGAGGCTGTTTATACAATTTCTAGTGAAGAAATAATTATTATAATTACATTAAGCGATTTGGCTGTAAAGTTCCCGTAAAAGGGCGGCTGCTCTTATGAGGCGGGTGGGCAGACACAGGGGGTAGAGGTGGGGGTGGCCAGGGTGGGGGTGGGGGTTTGTTTTGCTTGTTTTCATCCCCTCCGCCCTGGGAAACGAAAACAGCTTCTTTATGATGGATGGGCCCTTTTCCTGGTCCTTGACCTCCTGGGCGGATTTCTGCTGAGCTCAGCGGAAAATGCTCGGCACAGTTGCTGCTCCCACATGTGGGGGTAGGAGGGGAGCTGAGGGGAGGCCCAGGCCCTTCCCMAAAACAGAACAACAAGAACAGCAGGCAGACTCCAGGCCAGGCGGCCAGAGGCCTGGACAATGTCCTGTGAAAACAGCCAGAAAAGAGGGGTTTGCTTTGGGCACAGCAGCAACTCGCCGAGTGTTTGTGGCTTCCCTCTCGGCTTGCCCCTGCTCACTTCCTCCACCGCCTCCTCCCCAGGGGCCCGCGAGAGCCAGGATGGAGCCTTCCCAGAGGCAGCTGGTCAGGACCATAGCTCAGGCCTGGGAGGCAGGAGGCCAGGGGTCCAGGCTGGGCCCCAGCAAGCTCCCAGCCCCAGAGCCTGAGTGTTGCAGGTGGGCYGCTCTTGCCCACTCTGAGCCTGCCCAGTTGGCCTCCCCCAGACCCTTCCATCCTGGGGGCCCAGGACCTGGAGAAACCTGTGTCTTCCAGGCTGCTGACCCTCCCTCTCCCATGCTGCAGCCTGGGGCCAACTCGGGTTAGGTAACTACCCCATCCAGGCCTACCTGGAGGACCCTGTGGGTGAGGAGGCCACTGGTGCAGGGGGGACGTGTCCTGGTTCCAGGGTGATGGGGTCATACTCTGGGCCCTGGACAACCCTGGCAGGGAACGAGGACTCACACCACCATGGGGCAGCTCAGGTGTGCAGGACGACACTAGGCCAGGAGTGGGGTGGGGGCCGCGGCTCCCGCTGGCCCCAGAGCCCACCCACAGTGGCCTTCTTTCTGTGCCCCCTGCTCCCAGGCCTGAGACCCTGCTCCTGTGGGCTGAGCTTTGTGCAGGGCTCCTATAATGAGGGCAGCTTCCAGTCCCAGCAGCTGGGCAGCCCAGCACCAGTGGCTTCCCAACTGCCAGAAAATGCTGAGGGCCCAGGCGCCCTCCTCCCTCCCCACTGCCTCCCCCGTGGATGGAGGAGGCAGAGCCAGGAGGCCGGGGTCAGTAGGCATGCCCATAACTATGCAGTGGCCAGTGCTGAGCCACTGGGTTGCTGACCCAGCTGCCCACTGCAGGGCAGGAGTGGCCCTCGCTGACACTCATTGCAGGGGAGGAGTGGGTGCAGGGGCAGCAAGTAGGAAGGGCACCGGGCAGCAGCAGYTGAATATTGGTGAGGACAGTGCAGATATGTGAGCAGACGACGTCCAGGCAGGCCCTGCCCAGCAGTGGTCAGTGTCCTGGAGTCCAGGACAGGGACAGGCCAAGATGGGKACTGGGCTTAGGGACTGGCCCTCCTCAGCTGCCCCTGGCCTCAGCCCTGGTAGACAGGTCCTGCCCCGTGGAGGGCGGGGCTGGTGTCTAGGCTCCCGGGCTGCGCAGACACCAGCACCTGCCAGACCAGTTTCACTGTGTGGCCCACGGCTGTCCTGGACCACGGCCCTCGGCCAGCCACCAGAGCCACATGCTTCCGTCAGGCTGAGAGGCTGCGGGCACAGCTGAAGGTGGCCCAGGAGGAGCTGGCCAGCCTGCGCCAGGAGCGACGGGGCTGGGAGGAGAGCCGAGAGGGTCTGCACAGGGAGGTCCTGGAGGCCCGCCAGGCGCTGTGTGACGAGGCCCTTGAGAAGAGTGTGCTGCAGGGCTCCAACGCCGAGCTGCGGGCCGCTGTCCGCAGGGCCGCGCAGGAGGCGGCCAGGTGAGGGGTCTGGGCCAGACAGACAGTGGGGAGAGGCGCCAACCCCTACCCCGTCTGAGAGGCCTGCCGGGGCCAGCCCAAGCAGCAGGGAAGGGGGRTGGACATGGTCCCTGCCTTCGAGGAGTTGCCTCGCAGCCCCTGAGACAGGCCAGCCTGGCCCGTGGGAGACTGGGGCCTGGCCGGGCTGCAGGAAGGCCCCTGAGGCGCAGCAGGTTGGCCCCAGACATGAGGTCTCTAGTGGTGTGGTGAGGGCCAGAGAGGTGAGGGGCAGGCTACAGAGAGGCTGAAGAGGTGGACAGTGGACACTGGACCAGGCCCATGCTAGCAGGTGCTTGGATCTGGATGAGGCTGGGTCTTGGAACAGGGCCTAGGGTCTGCACCAGGGACCGTGTCTTACTTGGGGAGGCAGCCAGGCAGCCACAGGGCCCCCCTGAGGAGGTCAGGCCTGGGGTGTCCAGCCAGCCTCTGGCGCTTGCTCAGTTTTAAGCGGTCCAAGGAGGAGCAGGAGCAGAAGCTGCTGGGGCTGGAGGAGGCCTGGGCAGCTGCTCATCAGGAGGCCGGGGTGCTGCGGGCCAGGCTGCAGGAGCTGGAGCAGGCCTGGGGGGACACCCGCCGGGAGCTGCAGGAGAGCCGCAGACAGGTAGGGGCCCCACACTCCCCCAGGCTGCTCCCTCAGCCATCCTGGGAGGAGCTTCTTCCAGGGGCCACGCTGACCAGAGCCACCTCCTAGTGACGCCCGCCCAGCTCAGACCCCTCCGTGCCGCTGCGCTCTCCGGTCAGCGCCCCCCCAGCCCTCCTCGCCCAGCTCCACGGGTGGCTCTGCACCCAGAGAGGACTACCAGGTGTGTGTCTGCRGAGTGGCTGAGCGTGGTTCCCAGCACCTGGTCACGTGGGGCACCAAGGCCCCGCCCAGAGCTGGACTTAGGCTGAGGCTCCCAGAATATGGTCAGCTGCCATGAGGGAGGACACATGAGCAGAGGTAGGGAGGGGAGGCTGTGGGGCTCCTGCCTCGCCCCAGCGCTGCCACCCTCCCAGGTAAGAATGCTGGAAGGTGAGAATCGGAGGAAGAGCCAAGAGGTGAGTGAGCTGCAGGCCAGGGGTGCACAGGACGCCCAGCGTCAGCAGCAGAGCCGGCAGGAGGCACAGGGGCTACAGAGGCAGGCGACAGAGGCCGAGGCCACCCTCCAGCAGACCCGGAAGGAGGTAGGACCTGTGCTTTTCTTGGATAGGTCTGAGGAGAGGCCAGGAAGGAGCCCGAGCAGAAAGGCAGGAGGCCCCAGATGGGGGCGGGAAGGAGGCCAGAGGCCCCACTTCTAGGCCCACTCCCACCTGCACCTGTGGGAGTCCACAGCCCACATGCTAGGTGACTGCGCAGCCAGGGGCCGGGGAGACGGATCTGAGGAAGGGCCCACTACACACGCCTCCCTGGACTTCCCCAGGAGCTGTGTTCTAGAAAAGGCTGTGTTTGGCCCAGATGAAGGACAGAGTTCTGWGCAGGAGGAGGCAGGGGGGCTTGAAATAGGGATGCCAGGAGCCGGAGGTGCTGAGCTCACGCTGTGCCCATGCACACACMCCCCCGACCCCACACCTGCACACAGACCCTGCCCCAGGCCCACCTGCCAGCTCTGTGTGCTGAACCAGGGGCTGCACACAGCCAGGGCTCTGCACCCTCCCAGAGCCGGGAGAGCTCCCGGGCCCCAGGGTCACTGACTACACAGGGCCCCTGGTTCAGAAAGCTGTGCCTGCCACCCACAGTCGCCTCGAGCCTGGGCCCCAAGAACCCGGGGCTGACCTTCCACAGCCCACGTGACCCACCAGGTGACCTCAGTCCATCTGTGAGTCATTGTGTCCCCCCAGGAAGCAGGATGAGACCAGGCCTGCTTGCCACCCTGCACCTCGGACYCAGAGGCCTGTCTGTGTCCTCCCCACCCCGCAGCCTGCACACTCCTCACTCACACACCCTGTGCAGAGGGCACCTGTGTGTGCAGTTGCTGGCCCAGGGCTGTGCCCCGACCAGCATGGTGGGTCTAAAGGGGTCTGCGGCAGGGGCCGAGGGAGGCCCCAGCAGGAGGGGTGCTGGGACCACTGCCCACAGCTCGGGGCTTTCAGGTGGCTGCCGGCAGGACTCTCAGCTGAGGGACACTCTGTGGTCTTAAGGTGCCACCTGGCTCAGGTGACCCCACCTGCCAGCTGTGACCTGCGAGGGGTTGAGGCTCAGAGGCCTGGGGCAGGGTCTCCCAGGGGCAGATGGGCCTGGGTCTCCTGGCTGGTCCCCCCACATCCCTCCTGCAGGTGCTGGGCCTGCAGCGGCAGCTGGCGGAGGCCCAGGCCTCAGGGAAGGCCCGGGCACAGCAGCTGGAAGGACACCTGCGGGCGAGCCAGGAGACTGAGCAGGCCCTGCGGGCCGAGGTGCACAGCATCACCAGGAGGCTGCGGCAGGCCAGCTCCCTGGCTGAGAGTCTTCAGGCTCGCCTGGACAGTGCCCATGGCCGGGTCCATGACCTAGAGCAGGAGCTTGCCCAAGCCAAGGGTGCCAGGCGGGACGCAGAGGCCCAGCTGGACAGGCTGTGCTCCACACTCTGCCGTGGCCTGGGGCTCCGGGGTCGGAGCCCCTCCACCTCCCCAGAACGACCTGGTTCTCCCATGAAAGGTCGGTCTGTGTGTAACCTGGGCACCCCGCCCCTTCCCAGGCCTCACACAACCCTCACATGAGGGGGCTGGACCCGTCCCAGCAATTAGGAGCCTGTGCCCACATCGGCCCCACCCCAGCGCCCAGCAGAGCTTCAGGGGAAGGGGAGTGCCCACGTCTCTGTCACCAACCCTCCCCACATCCTTCCACTGTCACCAACGCAGGTTCCAACAGCTCCCAGGCTCCACCTGAGTGGCACAGAGCCAGCTCCCCCACCAGGGCCCATTCACCACCCCGGCGGCACCCACCTGCCCCTGGAGACTGCGACTCCGAGGTCATTGATGTGGCCTCTGTGCAGGACGCCCTGGGGGACCTTCTGCAGAAACTTCAAGATGCCCAGCGGGAACGGGTGAGGGGCAACTGGGGTCCTCCCCACCCACAGGGGCACACCCCCTGGGGCCCTGGGACCAGGGGACCCAGCCACTCACCCAGGTGCTCTCCGTCTGTGTGTCTGTCCTCAGACCCACTGAGACCCTGGCAGGGCAGCTCCAGAGGAAGGTGACCGCTGCCCACTGCTCCCTCCCCTGCCCCCTGGGAGTGGTCTGAGTGTCTAGACTGTCCTCTGTGACCCCACTGCCCTCCAGGCCTGACCCTCACATGGCCTAGGGCCACACTGTCCCTCAGGGTGGGCCACAAAGCCCCTGGAGTTGGCCCACTGTGATGTCCCCTGGGGACAGGCATTCGCCATCCCATGCCATCCCTGAAGAACTGTCCCCGAGGCGGGGACAGGCCCGGCAGGACCCCTCCCCTGAGGACACCTATGCAGTGGATGTCCAGTTGTGCCCCTGGCCCCGGGACTCCAGGGTGGCTCKGGACCCTGGTGGCTGACAAGTGGGAGAGACCGACGACGGTCCCAGGGCTGCCGGGCCCCAGCAGTCCTTCAGGACCACTGCCCACTGACACCAGACCAGGGCCAGGTCCCATTCCTCAGCCCTGGCTCCCTTCACACTGGCCCACAGGCTGTGTCCAGCCCCTGCCAGCTCCTACTCTGCCCAGCCGTCCCTCTGGCCACTCGGGGCCCTCCCAGGCCAGCAGGGCAGCTCATCCCACCACCAGGCCTGACCTTCCCTGCAGCCCACAGCCCACACTGTCCACTGCCCTGCCCGACTACAGCTGCCCACCTGACACCCCAGCCTGCTAGTGGACACCTCTGCCCTCCACTTGCCCTCCAGGCTGTCCTGCTGACCTTAGTTCCTCTGCCCAGGATGAGGCCCATGTCCAGGTGCAGAGCATGAGCAGCCGGCTGCACAGGGTGGAGAGCGAACTTGCCCAAGCCCAGAGCCACCTGGGGCAGCTGCAGAGGGCCCTGGCAGAGGCGGAGGAAGGTGACTGCTGCCCACTACTCCCTCCCCTGCCCCCTGGGAGCGGTCTGAGAGCAGCTCCAGGGGGGGCGGGTGGCCCCCGAGCCAGCCCTGGGCCTGGCCAGCGCCCGCTCCCTCACAGAGGCCACCCCAGCACGGGGGCAGTCCCAGGCCTAGCCCCTCTCCTGTGACTCCCACCCCAGGGTCTGGGCCCTGGCTGTCCCCACTCCCTGGCCCTCTTCCCAGATAACCACACATGGGTCCCCCCTTGGACTCTGCCTCCTCTGGCCTCCTCAGAAGGGCTCCCACCCAGCCCTTACAAGCATTACACTTACTGCCCCCCTGAAGTGTCGGCCAGGAGGGCAGCCTGGGCTCCRGGAGAGTCAGCCACAGGAATGTTGGTGGGGGCAGGGCGGGGCCATGGCGGTGGGAGGACTCTGGAGCCTGAAGGAGAGRAAATGAGGGCCATCGCCAGGACCCTGTTCTCCATGGAGGAGCCAGTCACAGGTCCACCGAGCTTCGTCTGTAGCCTGAGAACTGGGGGGACAGTCCTGGGAGTGGTGATCCCCTGGCAGCCTGAAGGCCTTGGGAGTCCCCTGCCATCTGGCTTCCCCAGGTCGGCACCGGGCAGAAGGTGCTCTGAGCAGCACCCGGGCAGCACAGGCCCTGCAGAAGGAGGCGCTCCRGAGGCTGGAGACCGAGCACCTGTCCAGCTTGCGGGCGGCCAGCCAGGAGAGGCGGCGGCTACAGGTAGGGCAGGCAGCGGGACAGGGAGGGAGGTGGGGGCTATAGGAGCTGAGAGGGTCAGGCCAGAGGTCAGTGGCTGGACCAGAGTCCCTGTGGGAATGGGGCACAGGCACACTAGAGTCACTGGCCCTCAGACCCCAGGYTGGAGCTACCCCTGGAAGAGCTGTGGGAGCTGTCCCAGCCCCTGCTCTACAGAGGGGACACAGCSGTCAGGGGCCCCCTTCCCTCTGGCCACACTGGCAGGCCTGGGGAACCTGGCCAGCCACGGGGCTCCTCGCGTGTTCCGGCTGCTGCAGGACAGCCTTGACGTGCTGCTCAGACACAGAGGGGTTGCAGGATTCAGGTCCACGTCCCACCACGCCAGGCCACATGCTGTGGTTGGGTCCAAGGGTCCAGGATGGTAGGTGGCAGCAGTGGGAGGTGCCTGGGAGCCGGGATCTGAGAAGTGGGGCTGAGTCCGTCTTACATGGATGGTGTTCATCTGGGTGCGCTCCAGGCGCAGCGGATGCGAGGCTTCTTTTGGAAATGCACCTTCCGAACCATCTTCACACGATTGAAATACTGCAAACTCGCCCTGTTCCGGAATGTGCCGAAGCTAGGAGGGCTGTGCTGGATTTTCCTGCTGATTCTTCCCCAGCATCTCCTTCTATTTCTAAGGGACTCTAGCGGTGCATTCTGTGACATGCTGCTCAGAGCGTAGCTTCCCCTTACTGTCCTCCTGCAGGCAATGGCTGTGTCCGGCTTTCTTGTGCCCATGGCAGCCTYGGCCTCTCCCCACCTTGGTCTCTGCACTCCCATGGACTCATGGTCTGGCTCTGTGCGCTTAATCCGCTGTGGAGTCCCTCCCTCCTGTGGGAATGGGGCACAGGGCGTTTCCTCACCCAGGCTTCTGTGGTATGACAGGTCCCCTGTGCTGGCTGGCTGCTCCTGTCCCTCCTCCTCCCTCCTCCCTCCCCCTC